GGTTTCAGGCACCAGCTCCGCCCCGTGCAGCTGTCCGGCGGGGTTCACGCGGTGCGCTGGCCGCTGCCTGACCCGGCTGGAAGTGGCCGTCATTCAAGCGGAGGCAGAGGCCGGCTGTCAACAGTTCGGGGCTCACCTGGCCTTACCCCGCTCTGAGGCCGAAAACCAGTGTGCTAAAGATCTGGCCGATGGGGTTAATGTTAGGCTCGGGGTGACTGACAGGGACTGGGCATATGAGGCGTCTGACGGCTGCGGTGATGTTACGATTCCCCCCTCCTGGTGGAATCAAGGTGCACCCAGTCACCGTGGGAGTGCGGTAACAGAATGCATGCAAATTTCTTATCGTGGTGGCTGGGAAGACACTAGTTGCTCTGCTCTGATCAAGCCTCTATGCCAGATGGGCATGTGTCATCGGCATGAATGCCAGTAACAAGGCGCACCAGCATTGTGTTGCTCCCAGTGTCCAAGGGTTTAGGGTTGGATATATATCATAAATGAAATTTCCTGGTTTGGGTAGATATTTTTCAGCTAAATCTGTCGTGTCCTAAGCCTGTCACAATAGGTCTAGTGATTGTCGCATTACTAGTGTAACTAACAATTCATCTTTGCTTAGAGGCAACTGAAGACTTGTTCGTGATCGCCCAACTGCAGCGATCCATTAGTAGCCTGCGGGCACTTTGCACTAACCAGCAGGGATAACGAGTAGCTAAATGCTGTGTAATTAGACCAGTGCAAGCCGGGTCCGCTGCAGTCTGCCCATAGTGCAATGGAGCTGGCAATTGTTTGGGACAATGCCGCCGCCTTAACGATTTCGAACCTTCAGGTCACGTTTTGTCAACACAGGCATGAATCCATCCCCAATTTCCCACAATTTGGACCAAAGGCTCTTTGAAAGCATGGGCCAAGTCTTCTCTGACTCGCCCCCACGTCCAGGATACACATATAGAAAACCTAAACAAGGGTGAAAAAGTGCCTTTTATGTCACCGACAAAGTTGGAATCGTTTGATTATCACCTGGGGTCAAATCTTTCCGAAACCGTTGCAATACAAGTCTGAATGCAATATACCTCTTAGTGCAATAAATCAAAAAAGTAAAGAGAAATGAACTGCAACGTGGCATAACCATCGAGCATTTTAGCTTCGGGAGTTCATTGGCACTGAAGTTCCATTTACTGGCCGTCAAACACTGAATAAAGAATGGAAGGACACAATAAAGGACACGTTGAATGGAGAAACACTGATCCTGACCTCCCAGAATTATCAGATAAAGACACTTAAAACAGAACCAGCCTAAAGGCGTGTAGCTTCCTGTTCGGTTAGGGAGAGGGCATTGTTCATCTTAACTATTGATGTATTTTCCTATTTTTGTTTATAATTTTCCGAACATTATTTTTCATTAATCAACATTAATCAAAATTTTCAGACTGAGCCCCGAACTGATTTCGAGCATCTCCATTACTGCTCTTAACTATGAAAGGTGAGTCAAATCTATTAAGAGAATTGTTTAAAGTGTATTTCGTAGGCAGGCTCAGCAAATTTTTCCTGCCCCCCCCCCTTCCCAATCCCTCAACCCTAGGCATTTTGCAAAACTGGATCTATTTGGTCGTACCTTTACCGATAACATGGCTCTACAACTACCTAAAATAATATCACTTTTGTTTTTGGGATGTCATCGTACAATCAGCTGTAAGCGTTGGCGATATTCATTACCTTGCCATAATCATTGCCGGTGCAGAACTCGCAGTTCCCAACATGATTCCAATTATTTAGAGCAAAACCCATACAATCCTGGTATCCACAGCTCTAAACGATATTTTTGAACACCTCTAGCGCCTTCGTTTAGCTCTATATGCAAAATGATGACAACTAAAAACGGTTTACTTCATGCCTGTCCATCCATCAGTGCGCTAAGTTCAAAGTGCATCGGGGAAGGTGAGAGGCTCACACCAGCAATGCTCGGCCTCGTACCTCAAGGCCGCTGCTCTTCTCAGTAGCGGGAAGTCCACATGAATCCTTGACATGTGTCGCTCTAAAGATATCCGTTTACCTTTGAAGCTAAGGCTTAGGTATCCACAAACGGCAACCCTAAATGGTAGGGTTTTTGAACGATATTGCCTTCAATGGTGTGTTCAACCTTTACATAGGGTTTTGAACTGAAATGAACATCTTGAGATCCTTTTGATGCAGTTTGCGGCCATGCCCTTTTTAAGACCCAAAGCCCTCTGGCTGCTTAGTTGCACGCCCGCTGAAGTGGGAAAAGGTTTATTGGGAGACTACTTCAGTCACCCTGACATTGATGTCGCCATAGAAACGCCATACGATCGCCGCTATATTACAGGCCAATTTCCGCTTATGGTCAAAACAACACGGCCGCTGATACATTCGCGAAAGCGATGATACGACAGGTATGATATAATCTGCTGAAGGTGATTGGCTGTTAGCAAGATTTCGCTGATGTGTGCCTGTCGCGAACGTGAGCGTGAGCACTTTCACGTTGTGCGGCACTCGTCGTCAATGGGGCATTTTCCTCATTTTTTGAGCCATAGGTCAATTATATAATAAAAGAACATCACTGTCTGCAAAAAGGTGCTGCACCGAAAAAAGAATGGCACTCTCCCGTATTTTATCACGCAAAGGACGCGACGGCAAATCTGTTTTTTCTCTGTCTGACGTTTTTCTTCCTCTACCGACGGTATTCCTTACGGACAGCTCGGTTGGTGCTTTGTGCACCGGAAGCAAATACCTTTGCTATGGGCTTGTGGGTCGGTAAGGCACTATGAAATTAGGTAAGTCATTACAACAGTTTTATATATCTATTTTTTTCGCCAATGTTTCACACATCTTGTACGGCAACTTTAAATTCTGAATAAAAACGACGGTCTTATAGCTACAACCTCTTGACTTGTATCACATCGAACCCCGTTGAGACTTGTTTTAAAGGCAGCTCCAAGGTGAAGTGCGATGTTATAACCGAAAACCTATGCGGATATTGTGAGAAAACCTTGAAGTTGATAGTCCTGCGGGCTGGGCCTGGGATCACACTTATTTCACATAGGTGTGTGAACCCAGTGGCTTGAGATGGACTGTGATCACTTGTGTGCGTGTGCAGCGGTTTGTATTGATCTTGATGTGATGGGGATGTGTGCGGGGCGAGGTTTTTGTACTTCTGAGAGAGAACAGTTGTTTTTGGTATTCTTTAAGTCTGATGACTCCCTGGATTCTTGACTCTGATGACTCCCAATTAAATGTGATATATCGATGCCTGCCTCTATCTTTATGTTTGCGTTTCAACATGACAAGGTAGTGACGCGCGCAAACCGACAGAAACACTTTCGTTTATACTGAAGGGATGAACAAAGGCAATTTGCTACTTCAACACGATGTTGTCACATTTGAGCCTATTGAGGTATGACGGGATCTAATCGATCCATTGCATGCCATTTCATTAGCAATTCATTTTGTCAGCAGGGGCAGGTCTGGGCGGCTCATTAATGCACATGCTTGGTATAACTTCACATGATGCGGGCTTGCAAAATTGTCTCCCCTTTGAGAACTCTGAAAATATACTGCTGTATTATTATGGATGCACATAGTACCGTCTCAACAAATTTGGTATGCAGGCAAGCATTGCTTGTGACTCATGAATGTCATGGTCACAGCAGCTTGTGAGAGATGCTGGGTGCTGAGAAAGGTGGAAAAGTGTTGCTGTTGGTTTCTTGGATAGTACTTAATAATACTTGTATCATGAGCCTTGTGTGCACTGCCAGCTTCCTCACTTCCTTACATTTCGACCATCTAACCATAACTACGTGCACTTGTCATGTCTCCCGCCTTGTGCAAGGTCAGCAAGTTTGCAATGTCATTTCACCACATGTAATGTTTCTTTGTTAGACATGCACTGTTACTTTGTGAACAATATTTTTGAGTGAAGCAGGCTGATGGCTGCAGCGTGTTGCATGACTGTGGACGCAGAAGGCGCGTTTGATTTTTTGTCGCCTACGTTTTGTGGATTTCCGAGACAGGCTGAGGAAGTGATGTCACTTACTGGTTGTGTGCCTGCTGGAACTGAATTGTGTATTGTATCATGTGTTTTTGGTCAGTCATA